TCTACTAAATTTCCAAAGCAAGCACTCATGTATAAAATATAGATATCTTATTTAATAATAATATTAATAGCAACAGCAACAGCAACAGCAACAGCAACACTACCACCCTGCATATTCATGATCACTCTACTGACCTCCTCTGAAGAGAATGTAACAGAACAGTTTTTTACGTCAACCTCAGCACTGCACACCCCAACCGATGCTGAGTCCAAAGGTGATCGGACGGTAAAAGAATCTTTAAACATGTTGGCAATATTCCTGCGATCTATAATGCCGCCCACACTCACAGGTACGCCCGGTCTAACCCTCTGGATATGATATTTTTCCAGAAATGTTTAAAATTCCCAGATGCATGGGTGGAGGCAAGCATATCCATTTTGATTTGTTCTTGCCTGTTCTGACACCATTTCAGCTTAGTTCTAAAAACACTTCTAGAATTAATCATATTTTCATAAATCAAGCCATGACTTGGGTTATTAGCCTGTACCCACACAAGAAATTTAAACCTGGCATCCCTGTGAGCAGGTGCAACGTATTTGTTCAAGCCAGCAATATATCTTTCCTTTTTTTTTACATTTTTTCTTAATATGTGTTACTTTTGAGGCTGTACTTAAAATATGAACAATGTTAGAATACAAATTATTTAATATATTTCTATGATCAAAATTTGCAACACATATTATCAGCGCATGACACTAACTCTGTTGGCAAGCCTATCTGTGTAAATTCTTTGTTACATATAGAATGGTATGAATTTATTTGCTGAGTTGTTCTATTACCCCAGAGAACGCCATTATTGCCAGAAGCTATGTATGTCTCACTTTTAGCTCTAACAGCATGCAAGTCACACTTTACGAACAAAGGGGAGTGGTCTGACCAGTACACATCATGCTGCACCCATACACTATATATAGTTTGTTTGGCAGATTTAGTAACTATACAATGATCGAGCCATGTACGACATCCGTGTGCTTCACTAGTATAGGTATATGTGTTCGAAATTAACCCTAAAAACTCCACGTCAGCACTCTCCCAACTTTGATCCTCACAAAATTGCATTAATTCATAATAAAATAGTTCCTGTGGATGGGCATTCAAATCACCCAAGATATGTATAACCTCGGTACTACATACCTCTTCAATAACCGACTGGATAGTCCCCAGGCATTCAGTATAAATTGTCAGATGTCAATGTATACGCTAAAAACTAAAATAGAACGACCGCTAACTACAAGCTTCACACGCACATTATCGCATTCTCAGGGTCTCCCGACAAGGAGACCATCCGAGTAATGTATAATCACTACATATTATCACCACCCGCGTCTTTCTATCTCTCTGATCGCGATAAACTCAAAATGTACTGAATGGATTTTCGTAATAGATAGAGTGATTCATGAGGAAGGTTTAAGTGTATAATTTATTTAGGTTTTGTGTAAGTTGGCTGAAACATGACAATAAATTTTGAAAATGTCGTAAAAAGTCCTGCCGGCTCGCCCCGTAAATTAGTTTACGGGGCGATATATCAAATCAATGTTCTAAAAAAATATTAAAATTATTAAATAGTATATTTCTGAATCGATTTCGATAAAAGTTGGTAATAAAGTAAATTTATTATGTAGTCTACCAGTCCATGATAAGTGCAGAGTAAGGGGCGGCTGGTACTGGCCTAGGGCGGCCACAAACGATTTATAATCCGCCACTGTGCTCGACCTCACACAAAATTCTGACCAGTTATACCAGTGAAAATCATATAACCTAACTGCTTAGTAAAGTTTAATATTTGCACTTCCATTGAAAATCATGTAACCGAATTGCTTATAAAGCATAGTATTTCTAGAAGATACAGGTATGTTCCCTTCTTACCTGTTAACCTGTACCTGAGTGGGAGCGTTTTTATACGATTTGTCTGGTTTATATCATTTTGTTTTATTACAGCCTTTACGCCTTTACTTTACCTGTTCTTTTCCCTTCCTGTATCCTCTCTTTCTTTATTTATACCATAAAATTCACGTGGACCAAGCCTTCTATTTAATTACGCGAGGCCCGCGTGACACATTTTCCTTAAAATGTCAATCATTGGTGCCATCACCCTAGTAAAATATCATGATATTCAATAAAAATCAAAACTATTGTGTTCTTCAATTACTATTACTTACATTGTTAAAGGTTTATAAATAAATAAAAAAACATACAACAATTCATGCAGTAAATAATTTATTTTTCAAAACTTCTTATTTATCATCATAACTCTTCGTAATTTGTTTTGAACGTGAAATTAAGTATCTCTGCTTATTCAGCTATTAACCACCATTATTGTCTGCCAGGATAATACCTGATAATTTTCCTGATATTTAAAATTAACTCTATTAAATATGCTTGATATGGCAAAACGTAGGAAATGAAATCCGGATTTTCGTACATTTATGGAAGACGTTAAATACGTTTTCTATTCCAATGATACAATAATTGTGCTAACGGTATGTATATTACTGTATTTACTTTATATTTTATGGAATTAAATTGTTTATCAACCAACCCTAGTCTAAAAACTTCTAAATAGCGTTTGATTTAGAATTAGGGTGAGGCCAGACGAGCGTAATCTAGTGAGTCATGTTTTTTGAGTCGCGTAATTTATGCTGCATTCGGTTTCATATAAAAATCCGTGTGCCACTCTACGATGCAAAATGAGTTGTCAGCCGACTCACGCGAGTAATTCCGATTGAATTTCAGTTACACTGTGTGACGTGTTTGTGCGGGTAGAGTGAAGGGTGAGAGAAACATTTGTTGGCACCTTACAAATCTGAATGTTCCACATAAACTTCGCACTAATATATTCACATTGAGTGGACGTACCCAGCTTCTTTTCCTTACATTATCTTCAAATGCTTCATAAATGTACATTATGCTTAATGGATCCATTACAATTTATGACACAAGCACCCCGTACAAACGCTTAAAAGCAACTCAATAAAATACGTACATGTGGCACCGAATGTCAGTAAACTACGAAACTCAAAAAGCGCGACTCGCAACTGACAAAATTACTCTCGCCTGTCCTCACCCTAACGTGTAAGAAGGACTGATTAGTGGCTTACAAAATGTTACAAACTGTTTGAGGTTCAGTTGTAGCCTATATTTGATTTTTGTTCTACAATATGTACGTACATAATTATTATACATATATTTGGATGCTATTTTCATGTATACAAAAAAAATCATAATTACATGATTACTAAATAAAACGCATATGAAATTAAATATTGTCGTAACTCAAAAATGTTGTAATGGGGAAAACACGATTGGAATGAAAAGGGAAAGACCGCGCGATTGCGCTCATAAGTCGTGCGCGCTATTGCGCACTCCAACACGCGCCAGTTTCACGCGGCCTACCCTGCGCTATTAGCCTTTACACGGACGCTCTTTTCGTTGCAACAAAAATGATACAAAGAACGTTAGCTTAAAAAAATTAAAACAGGTAATCGCGCATGCTTGCGTGTGCAGGCTTCCCCGTGCACAATCCTGTACGCTCCTGATTACGGGTGATAGAGTGACTGTGTAAAGGGGGCTAATAAATACAGACGCGCGCGATGTCACGTGCTACTGGCGTTGGACATGGGGCGACGCGCACGCAGGCACGCCGAAACACGACAGTGCTGCGCGCCATCACACTCCTCAACGCCATTCTCCGTTCACCACATTCTGATTTATTTGATAGCATGATTGAGTGAATGTAAGAAAGTGTTTGAACCAATGACGCCCGTTGGTTCAATTCTTGGACTTTGATTTTTATCTGTTAAGTTACAAATGTTAAATAAATATATTTAATTTGTGCTGATAGCCTCCTTTATGTATTGCTGGTAATATTGTCTAGATTCTAATCAGTGCTTCCTATATACTATTCTATAAGATTTAATTTACGTCGTATATCTTTAAGTGTATTTGCACTGAATTATGTACATTGAAGAAGTAAAATCAGTTATCTTGACAAAAATATTCGTTGCTTTCTAATCCGAGGAACAAAGGTTGATAACTAATTTAATTTCATATTATAAACAACCGTAGCAAAACACAATTATGACAAAATGTCCCAACAAAGTTACAATAAAAAAAAACGAACAAAATTCTATGTCGTACAAGTTCTTTCTTTACATTTCCTATCTAAAAATTTAAGTACTCGAATCTCTAGATTACACTAAATTGATCTAAATGAAAACAAACTGACACAGTTATTGCTTTTATTCAGTTCATGTTCCCATTCAGACCAATGTTCAATTCTCTACAATTTTCTCTAATAGTTAACCGATATTATAAACTTTATAGTAATTTCCTTGGGAAATAAATATATATCACCTCAATATGATTCTAGGATATGAACATATTTATTTACATCGCTTTTATTTAACTAGGATACTTTACTAATGACGTTATTATTACATACAGGGTGTATTCGTAAAGGGCAATTATTCCGTAAATATAAGAGATATCAAAAACCTTTAAACTGATATCGAAAGTACGTTACTTAATGAATAAAACGACAGTTAATAACTTTTTAAAAATTAATCTAGATATATCCAAAATGTTAACATTAAGCGCTTCCATATATTTAATATGAAATTGGTAGAAAGGCTTTAGTTTCGAACAACTGCTTTGAATACAAAATTTTGTATTACTTAAAAATAAACATCACTTTATTTTTATTCAATTAAAATATAGTTTTATTATTTTATCTATAACACTTTCGTTATCCGTAAAGTTATTGTTACTTTTTAAAGTAGGTCAATTAAAGCCTTTCAACGAATGCCATGTAAAATGTATGGGAACGTTAACGTTAAAATTTTGGATATATCTAATTTTGTTTTAAAAATGTTCTTCATGTCGTTTGAGTTATTAGGTCACGTACTTTGGATATCAGTTTAAAGGTATATATTTACGGAAGAATCGCCTGGGCACACTTAACAATTACACCCTATATATCGTTTGAATTTAATTTAATGATTATTCGCTGGATTCTTAAAACGCGACAACTATGGCAGATCTATATAGCTATAATTAATACTTACAAGTAATTGAACATATAATATGCATTACAATATATAGGTACTATAATAAAAAGAACATTAGTAAAGAATTTTTATTAGAAATTATAATTAGATTTGGAAATGTATATTTGCTTACAATGCTATTTTGAACGTGAAAGTTCTTACAAAAATGGCAGTTTTATATCACGTATACAAATTTAGATTAACATTGAGAACACAGGTCAACTTGTCGATTTTTTACACGATTAAAAATGAAATTATTGCCGTATCGATATCATCGCTAGAAACTACAATCGATTTTTATATAACCAACCTTGAGTAGGAGACACTACAAAAGTTTATTTATTTACAAGTTGTTAATCACATAACTCGATTGTGCCGCATGTCGATCAGTCAAACACACAAGATCCAAATACACTCAAATACATTGTGCGTTGTTCCATTAATTCTAGAAGGATCATTTTGACAATAAGCAAAAGATTCAAATTGTAGGAGTGGGCAACAAACGCGGAGGTTTCGACAAGGCGAGAATTGGAAACATCGTGGACATTTCTCAAAAAGTCAACTTGGCCACCGATCGACTGCATTTGGTCCAAATGTCCCTATTTTTCACAGTTACATTTCCGTACATCGTCAATTTACTATTACTTACTTATTTACAAAAATCTAAATTCAACATTTTGAGTAAACTCGTAATTATTACACAATTCGTCAAACTATTTATGTCTAGTTTATAACTTCTATACGCGTAGAGCAAAAATTCCTCAATGATCAGACTTTAACAGAGCCATTTCACGATCGAGTGAACACTACTACAATTCGACTTGTCCTGGAGTATATTTAGAACAATGTGGAAACCATTGAATTGGTTTGTAAAAGCTGAAGGACTCCATGCGAGAAGCCGATCACACAGTGGTGACGCGGTCGACTTCCACATACCGCACGGAGTCCTCGCTTGGTCAGCAAATCACTTCTTTTTCGTCAAATATGGCGGTGTCGGAGGAAAGACTCTTCAAACGTTGTTGCAGAGCAGAACGCCGTCGGCGGCAGGAACGCGCTACAGCTATCTGTGAATGGAAAGAATTTCGTTGTGTATGCTGAGTTGCCTGCTCGACACTTTTAAACAATATAGTGAATTATGCACTAATGAGGTTTATCTGAACGTAGGATAAAGAATATACTATATTATGAGTCAAATATTTTGAGCTCTAGAAAGAACAGATAAACTGTTGTAAGAATTTTGGACTACACTGAACTTGACGTTGTTTATCAGCTTTACATGTTTTAACAATCATTACACATCAGTTCTTACGATGTATTTGCTGAAAATGTGCAAATTGTGCTAATGTTTGTCTTTCCTCAAAAGACGGGGCAAGACGAACTTGTAAGTAATGTATAACCCATATAACCTCGTGGTCTGAAGATTTCACAACTGTCAAATTAGTTTTTTCCGCCTTTTGGATTTGGAGCATCGTAATGACATCTCTTTAAAACCGTTTAAACTGATTTGCTTATCTGTTTTATCGACAGAGAGACTATAGCGCTAAACTCTTTAGATTATGAGTTACGGCTTCAACACCCTCTTCTCATCTGATCTTAATCTAATTTAGTCGTGTAATTTACGAAATGATTCCTTTTTCGTTGCCCTTGCAAGATGTCACATGTATACCATCAATTAATGTACCATCTTAAATTTGTAATGTGTTAAGCAATTAACATTTGAATTGAAACAATTTTAGTGATTTTATTCATAAATCGGTACATATTTTACAAAATGAAAAACTATAACTTACTGTAGCGAAGGCAGCGAGAATGCTAAAGGCTAACAGCGCGGCCGCATACTGTGCTGGTACCCGCAGCAAGGCTGAGCATTGTGACAGCCGTTCATCTTCCCCGTGAGGACATTGCGCGATACCATCGCACCACAGTGCCGGTGCAATACAGGCGTCTAGAGATTCACAACGGTACTCGCATTCTCCTGACATCGCGAATACACCGCCTCGGTCCACAGCGTGTCTAGTAATAAGACAAATAAATTAAGTACAATTAATTCGGAAAGATGAATATAGGATAACTAAAAAAGGTACCATGGTTATTTAAATTGACGGAAAGATGATTTCTAAAATAACTAGCTTTTCAGAAATGTTGTTTGAAATAATAGCTATCTATGGATTAGTGTACCTTCTAGAAAGTTCCAACCACGTAACGAAGTAGGAACCAGGTTCAACAGCGATCAGTTCTACAGAGAGAGCTCGTGGCCAATCGAGGTCAAATTGATCGGGTGACGGTGGTGGAGCAAGAACGTGGCGAGTCAACGGATCCACTTCTTTAGCCCAGCCCGCTGAGAAAACCTCTACGATGTCTTCGTACTGAAAACGAATCAAGCCTTTCTACATCCAAACTTCATTCGATTAAAATTATAATACATTTTAAACTGTAAGTATGGTAAAATATACTCGTATGAGTAGTCATTTTTACCTGATCATCAGGTGGATCGGGGCAAATGAAAGTCGGCGTCAATCCCCATGTATAAACAGCAATTCTATTAGGTGTTCTACACAAATGCCTTAAGTCAGGAGCTACTGTAATGTTGTTAAGCAGTGTAAAGTTGTCCAGCTCTGGTTCCTTGATGATGCTGCCTCGGATTTGCAGGTACAGAAATCTACCAGGTGACGGATCGATGAGCCATGGACGTCGTTCGCAACGTTCCTAGAATAATTTTTATACAGCTTATAATGAAATCGCATCAAAATATTAAAAACTAAATTTGGTGGAAATGGATTAAATATGGGTCTGAAATTTTTTAGGTTAGTTTTTTAAATAATAACTTACTATATCAGCCATAGGAGCAGAAGACGACAATCTCAAATCCCCACTAGCTCCATACACTTTGTGTGAACTTTCGCAAAGCGCTTCTAGCCTCACAAACTCCACGGAGGCTTCAAAGCCGAAGGATCGGAAGTCGTCAACTGCAGACATGTTAACCACGTCGAATTTTAGTTCTGCTACAGTGCCCGTTGATGTAAATTCATAATCGCCGGTTTCACTATAAAATATGAAAAGAAAATATTTAATTTGTCGACTAAACTGGAGGGAATTGTCTGAACTTGCCAAAGCTAATGAAAACGGAATAAACCGTGGTGTCAACTCAAAGACTTAAAAGAGAAAAACAGTGATTTAGCCTTGAAAAAGTCCAAATTTTTCTGACCTTGGATGCTTGACCATAAAGTTTTATGGTTTTTTTCACTTTCAGAATGATGTAGTTACTTAGTATTTTTACGTATAGAAAGCTATATAAATCCCTTCATGAAACAGGTAAGCCATCTATTACAATACATTGAAACAGTACCTGCACAAACAATCTCTAGACACGCCTGGTCCGTTATCTCGCCAAGGTCTATCGAATATTCTTACGGCTGCAGTGGGATCTCCAGCACATCGAAAGTACGGGGAATGTGCTGAGTGAACAGAACGGCAGAGTCTACCACCAGAGCGAACTCCCCACACACGAAGTTTCACCACTTCACCCGGGTTGGCTTCAAGGCGATAAGTGCAACTGGAATTTTAATATTTCTTCATTTGTAGGTATATCAGTACAACGTATATACGTAGAAAAAAAACAGTGTTATGTAAACATAGATTTTAGTAGATTTTTGCTAGTGGAACATATAGAAAAAAAACGGATTAATAAGAGTAATATAGGATTTAGAATATGACATTATGCAGCATGTTTTGAATTCAAAACGTTTACCTTATATTTCTTGAACCTCCTCTGCCATACAGAAACACATCTCGTGGAGAAGAAAACGTAACAGGAGGATCTGGAGGCGCTTCTGGGAAAGAACGTGATGCAAAGCGTCTGGAGCATGGTCCGCGACCCCACGGTTCACCGTCTTGATGAAGATCCACGAACTCGTACAGAGCCTTGAAGAAGACTGGCCTGAAATTAAAAGACATTAATTGCTTAGTACTATTATTTTGAATCATAATACCAGGCTAGTGTCGCAAAATTGCCGCCTGTACGTCGAGTTGCGTACAATAACCCGTTACATCATACATGTTACATCTTCTTCTTCTTGGGATTACTCTCGTATTGGAGATTGGACAACATCACGGCAATCCTGATAGAAGTTAGATATTATATAAATGGATATTTGAGTAAGAAAGAAAGAAATAAGAAAAGAAAGAAATATCCCATAAAGAAACAATACAGCACACATACATTTAACAATTACGAAACATAATTATAACATGTAAGACAAAAAATCTAAATAAAAAAAGGGAAAAACAATAATTAGAAAATACACACAAATAACACACTAACAGGAAGCAAATAACAAAACTGTAACAATAATTAATCAAACAATACGCCATAACGTGTGCATGCTGTGCTGTTACGGAATCCGTCATCCACTCAGCTTGGTGTCGTCTCACTGCATATGCTGATACGCTGATTTTCAGTGGATTCAGCAAAAGGGAACACACACCGACGTGTACAATTTGATATAATTATGGATAATAGTATAATTGTAAAATAAAAGCGTAATAGTAAACAACAATGCAACTGTAATAATTAGCATTCAGATATTCTACTAGTACTAGCCAAAGGTAACAATAAAACGCCCACATCTCCCACACATCGGCAGATATGCTGGAGATTGCTGAATATTAAACAAATACGCCTTAAGTAATATTTTAAAAGTAAAACGTGAGTATTACCTCTGTGTTGAGAGATTGTATTATAACAATAATAAACTAATCCAAATGACGCGTTTAACAATCGGTTTGTATTTTAGTACATCAGATAAATAAAATGGTATAATCTTGCGTAATATGTATATGAAGTAAACAACTTCAAGTCAGGCGCACCCTGAGCAATAATCGGCGAGTACCCTTCGCTGATTGGCAAATCCTTTCACCACGATGGCAACCATGATAGTGCATGCCATCGATACGATAAGAAGAATAACATCAAGAGCATAATAACATAATATCTAAATAAGTACACAGCTTACTTGAGAGCAGTCCCCTGTGTTAATTTCAGTTCTAAGGTCAAAGAATCTCCTCTGGACAAGAAGCTCTCCGTTCTAGTACAGGCTCTGGTCCTCTTCAATAGCGCATGCTCACAAGTCCTAGGAGCTCTTTCACGACAAAACCTTGCAACTAACGTAGCGTTAGTCGGAGGACGACCCACTATCACCGTTTGCGGAGAGGTTGCTCTTGACATTTGGACAGATCGATCTTTGTCACTGTAAAATATTAAATAACTAATAACTTCAAGAAAAAATGCTGCAAAATTTTGAAATGCTAAATACAGAGTATGTTTTTCTTCAAGTTTAAAATACGATTTTAGCAAGTTGACGGCTTTCAGCAACAATAAATACACTGATGCGCAGGCTTCAACGCGAGCGGAGCTAAGCCAATTCAGCTTAGCTCACGTAGCCGGGGCATCTTTTCATATTTCGGTCCACACCCCGAACTAAGCTAACCGACTAACTAAAGTAACCCGCTAGCTACGTAAAATATGTCGCCCTTCACCCCCGCACGTATCCATATTTTCTTAGCTTAGCTTTGCATGCAACTACGTGAGTTAAGGTAGCCAAGTTAGTTTAGCTGGCATAGCTGCCGTCCACTAACTAAAACGAGACTAAGTGATAAATGGTAAAATATCCGTTTTAAATACCAGAAGATAGAGCACAAAATTCTCTTTTAAAAACAGTTAAAATAGTTAACGTGTTCGACTTATCGGAACTTACCCTAAGGGCGCGTTCCCACTATGTCGTCACGTTTTATTATCGTTGGACGACTGTCGTGTCTAGCCTGTTCCCTTATCACGACTATATGTCGTGGATGATTTTTTAACGTTGAACGACTGCCGTGACTAGCTGTTTCTACTAGATCGTGACGACAATTTATCGTTTCACGACAGTCTCCTTGCCCATCTCTGGCTACGACCCAACGCAACTGCAAAGCGAGCAGAGTGCGCGGAGTACAAGAGGAGAGGGCAGGGAGCAGAATACGTGCGGACAGCGATAAATAAAACGTGACGACAATAGGAGCTGCGACAATCTGTCGTCACGTTTTTATCGTGACTTTTTTTATCGTTCGACGACTGTCGTTCTAGCTGTTCCCACTGTGACGACAGTTTGTCGTTGTAACGATAAAAAATCGTGAACGACAGTTAATCGTGTCGTGCTATATGTGAACAACTTCATTTAAATATACAAGCCACGACACTGTAAACTGCACGACAATCTGTCGTCACGACATAGTGGGAACGCGCCCTCACGATGTATAGCTGAAATATTATTGAACAATTTCAATATTCTAAAACCGGATTTTTATGATATCTCAAAAAAATATTGTATCACTTAAACGCGTTTTAGTTAGCGCGTGCAACTACGTGAGCTAAGCTAAGTTAGCTAGCTTCGTTCGCGGTGTGTCCTGCGCTTGATGAAGTCGGTTATTAAAGTTTTCGACCAAGACACAGTGTTCACTTCCTCAGTAATGCTTCCTTGAGGGATAATGTTTTTAAATATCGCCTCCACACCGTAAAATACCTCAAGGCCTGAACTGCTGAGGAAGTGAACACTATACCGCTTGAATGGTGAAGCCGACAAAAGACGAAAACCTTTTTAAATTACATCGGTGTTTTGCTGCTGAAAGTCGCCGTCTTACCGAGATCGAATCAAAATCTTAAGGATATAACTGCATGTACCGAATTGAATTTAAAAAAAATCAAAATCTTAGTTCTCTACATTTTTAAATGCTTCCCCAAACTCAGGCGTACCTTTTTCCCCACTCTGTATAAATCCATAACAAATTGCTATAGTTATGTCGATGATTATAATAGACAAAGCGAGTGTGCTCACCAAAATATATCACTACAGCCAGGCGATATTCGCATCGGGCCATCCCATATATTCAAATGGCTTCCACAGTACTCGTCTTCCGGCAAGTTTGGATTGATAGCGTTGGTTACATAAAATTTCAATACCGAAAACCACACCCTAAATCTTGGTGCCGAGAATGACGGCCTTCTGTAAATTATGTTTCTCCCTGATGGTCCCGAAGTATCGATTCCTTGCATATGGTAGAGACAAGTGGTGTTCGGTGGTAAGGAATGTTGCGGGTGCTCCAAAATTCCTCGCCCAGTCCCTCTGATCCAAAATTCACAAGCCCTTTTGTTCTTTGCGTATGTGGGCGACTGTTGATCCACGAACCTGACCTGAAATTGATTAATTATTTGATAACCGCAGGGGAATCACTAACGATCGTTAATCAACACTCTAGAAGGGGGTTGAGATAGAATATTGTCATCGCTCCCGTTAACTCGATTATTATGACCGAAGTATCTTTGGAAACATAAATTGTGAGAGCTGAATAATTAAAACAGACGATACACCAGTAAAATTACAGGAGAGCACTTGCGTCACCCAACAGGGACGTGAAACAATTTGTTTAAGGACGATAGTGAATAAAAATTTTTAAATCTTAAAGAACAACATTCCGTAGAGTTGCAAGACAAAAACGGTGGGGTTGCGTCCCATTTCGCTAGTCGAAACAATGCGGGGTGCGACCGTTGAGTTTGCCCAGCGCTCCATTATGTGACCGTGCGAGCCTACGGTACTAATTACACTTTGGCAGGGACCCAAGCGGCCTCTAGGACACTTCTTGATTTATTATTGTTCACCGAAAATGAAACACTTTAAATAGCACTCTATCATGTACAAGAGTCCATTAACTTGAATCTAGCGTTATGTTCCAACTGATTATTATGAGTAGAATAAACCCTTAACGAAAACCTTTTAAAACGAGTCGCTGAAGTATACCAAACTTAAACATTTTGACTAGCCGTGAGGAAATCGATTTCCCTATCCAATGAACACGTAGTAATGATCGAAGATGATTAGAATCTGATTACCTGGAATCGAAATAGGCAGAGCATGTTTACCTCAATTTCAAGTAATACATATAGTAATACCTTCCCTGAAACCTAGGAATTATTAAAAATAAAGGGCAAAAAATCAAAACAAAATAGATACATTTTCGTGTTCATTTTTATTTTTATATTCTAATTATGAACCGAGAAATAATTAGATCGGTGTAAATACAGTGTAAGAATATTGTAAATACACATGAGATAATTGTACAGAATCCTAATAATAAAGACGCCGTATGGTCTTATTAACGAATAACGCGACAAGCATGTAAAACTGTAGAGGTTATTTGCGGATTAGTTTTTCAAACGGGATTAAACATTACTTCAAAGTGAATAATAACAACGATAAGAAAGTAGCCGCTTGCCAAAACCGTATATCGTGATGTAAGTGACAGGCGTGACAAATTAACGGTGATTTGTCACTGTGATTTTTTGTAACTGGACTATAGTCACGGTGATGGAAATGTAACGGTTTTCCCCATGTCTATACCTTAGTAGTGGTTTTGGTGAATTTTACTCTCTTTCTGTTACACAATTTCAATAAAATTTGGCATATTGATGTAATTCCAATGAAAATAAAATATTATGGTGACCTGGAGCTGATCTAATGATGAAAATAGCGGACAGATGAGAGAAACTCCTCAGGCAGCTACTTTTGACGAGGACTTCTATATGCGTTCACCTAAGTGAAACTAAGCTAACTTAGCTTAGTTCACGTCGCCAGGGCATCTATTCAAACTTCGATTCACGCCGCGAACTGAACTAACCGAGCTACTAAACTAACCTAACGATCCCGCTAAGCTATGTAAAATATATCGCCCTTCACCCCCGCACTTATCAATAGTGTAGCACGTCACTACTTACTACGTATTTTGCCAGCTTAGCTTTGCATGCTACTACGTGAACTAATCTAGGTTAGCTTAGCTTCGTTCGAGGAGTCGCATGCGCTTAACGAACACAGTGAAAGCGGATAAGTTAACGGCTGGTTACACATCAAAACTATATAATGAAATACAATAATTCCGGATTTCAAAAGGAGGTATCATCCACACTATGTCGTTTACTAGAAATTTAGATAAATAATAATAATAACGCATACACTCAACTTAGCCCCGCACTAGGGAAACCCTGTGTCGCGGGTGCCGTGGACATACACAGAGACAAGCACAATATACACCCAAACTCACGAGAGAAATAAATGTAGGTCTTACAAATATTTCTCCCGGCCCGGGAATCGAACCAGGGACCTCTGCGTGGCAGTCCGGCATGGTAACCGTTCGGGCACAGAGGCAGTTTAAATAATCATACTCTGCCAATTACGATCTTTGTTAATTACGTATTAATTAAGAGCACTCGGCAGCTATGAAGGAAATATATCAGTTACTGTTTATAGTTAACGCCGGAGTTCCATATATGCTGTCATCGTCTTTATTTTGGTAAAGTTGATGATAAAACGAGCAGGGACTTTTTGCTTAATTGAATTTTGGCGCGCATCCAGGCCTTTGTTCGCTTCTACACAAATTCGAAAAAGATTTTAAATTGTAGGTACCTGAACAGAAGTTAATATGGATACGTAAATGTAATGTCATTCTAATATACGTGTCGTGAGAGCTTTAATTACTACCCCCTGCTAGGAGTCTGTGAATCGAAAGCAATAAAAACCTTCGGCACGTAGCAAGCTGCTTTTAATGAAAATAGATTGTCGGAAAGTCGGAAAATGCAAGAATTACCTCTATCTTATGTACATTGTAGGAGTAACTAGGAACATTATATCTATGTATATGTGAAAGTTATTACTTTCGAGTCGACAAAACGCCTAAAAATAATTCGTACTCTTGGTATAATAAAGCCACATGTGTTCATACGTCAGAAGTGCGTTTATTACGTGTAATTTATATAATCTTCGTACAGAGTACCAAAAAAACCGACTTCGAAAGTTCGTGGAATTACATCTATTTACCAAATTTTATTGGAATCGGTTACCGGAAAGTGCGCGAAACCAGATTCAACCCCTAGTTTGCCACCCTTAGAGGTGGAATATTTTCTTGGGACCATTACCGAGGTACCTCAGTTCCAACAAAAAAGAATCATCAAAATAGGTTCATAAATCGCGTAACATACATACGAAAAAAATATATAGTCGAATTGTGAATCTCCTCATTTTTCTGAAGTTGGTTAAAAATATGAACTACATGAAACAAATTATATATTAATGAAATATTATAACTCTCTGATTTAAGCATAAAAAGTTATAAAATGTCTCTACTGAAAAGTTGTAATTTTGGTGATATGGCTTATTACATAATAGGTAAAGGGTGTGAATTAAAAACTTCTATTAATATTCTCGTTAGTTTATGAAATAATGAAATTGAAGATTTTATGTGGGGTACATTTTCTTCAAGTCCGAAATTTTCAAAGAAAAAATATCGATATTAAAAGTCAGAGGGAAGTAATTTAAAACTTTTTGCGGTCTCACCTCGACTTCCAGTTGAAAACCGTGCAACGACTGTGAAGTCGCCGGTTGCAAAAAGGTGCCAAAAGGCGACGTTGTGAATTCTACAAGCAACTCGGGACCGCTCGATATGGCTTCTGGCACCGACACGCCACCGCCACAAAATCTCAAAACGACCGGATCTCGAGTAGTATATCCGTCGTACACGGTAACATAGTCCTGCACTTCGTCGCATTGCTGCCAGAATTTCAACTCACGCCCACTATTCCCTCTCTCCTGTTGCGACGCGGCGTAAAGTGCCTTTTGACTTCTGATCGATACTAGTTGCCCATTCGGTTGCTTCACTACGATTAGAGCATGTTTCCCTGAAGGTACTTCATGTTGACGCACTGCGTAGTAACAAGTTAAGTTTCTCGGATAAACGCCAGGGTAGTTAGGCGACTGTAATCTACAGTTTTTACGATCACAGTCGCTGAAGATTCGCGAACAATAAGTTCCGGAGATCAAATCCCCGAGGTAATATTCTGTTTTTGCTTTCGCGACGTTCGTTTCTTCCCCGCGTGAAATGTTTACAGGAAACGACATAGGTCGATGCTTGAAAAAAGGCCGCTCTGGAAAGATAAATGATTATTAAAGATGTTGTTGCTGGATTTCAATGTACCAAGGTTACTTTGCTCGCTAGTTTATTGAGCTGCAAGCAATAAGGATAAAGGATACTGAAGGTTGACTAACACAAATCTTTCGAAGAGTACGAGTAGAGATATAATATTTTTCTTAGACATAAGGGATCAATATAATATTCTGTCAAGCTTCTGTAACTGTAAGTTGTTTACTTATTTAGAACGTTAGTAAAAGTATTTTATTTAAGAAAAGAAACAATTTTTTCCAATCTAGTAGTCTCTGGTAGGATCTAGTATTTTTTCGGATTTAGTAGCAGTAGAGCTCCTTGTGAAAGAGTTCGTCCAGGAAATTGCTGCCACCTTATCTATTCTGCCGGCAACCAGTAATGTCAGCATTACTATGTTCCGGTTTTGAAGGGTAAGGGTGCTCGTGAAATTACAGGCACATGGGACTTGTCAATTTATGTCTCAGGGCTTACTGGCAGTGCCCCTTAGATCTTTGCGATTTAAAGCTATGATTGGCACTGCAACTGTTATGGACAAGCGTGTGACTCACCATCAGGTGCACGACTTGTTCGTCCCGTCGCTTGATATTATAAAAAAATGGCGTATTTTTGTTTAAAAAAGAAACGTCTCGAGCCCTTTCAAGGTCCCATGGTCACGGCTGACACTGTCAGTCCTGTGAAGGGCTCGGAACTTTGGTTTGTTTGAAAAAACAAATATACGCGATTTAGAACCGTACTAGTTTCTTTTCCAATATGTAACAATCGCGAAAACCTAAGAACTCAAAAATATCATGATACTTTTAATACAATGATATTCATATATTTTTTAATGAAAATGTTCGATTAGTTTGTTAATACTATTATTGATACAAAGATCGAAAAATTCCTTCGATCCAATTGGATTCAAACCAGCGTCTGTCGCCTTGACGTGGCTACCGCTCTTACCAACTGACCTAGGAATCGAGATAGCAGATCTTACGAATTACTCTATATGCACGTTGCAGATTTTTATATTGAGTTTAAATAGTTCAAATAAAACGGTTTTAATAAAAGTTTTACCTGATGGTGGAGTCCCGCCGTATCGGACAGTGGCATGTTCTTTCCTTAGCACTTTATAAGCCATTCGGAAATCGAAGTTGTAGTTGTTCTGTTCTTTAGATAGATGTAATAAACGTATTATAAGAGTGATAGATTTCGTTTCGCTGTAGTATATAGAGGGGCCCCAGGACGTTCCACACCAGGAACCACCGACTTGTGGTCTGCTTGCTTCTTGGATCTGCATGTAACCGTCCGGACAACCATCTTCAGTGAAGGAGGTAAAGCGGCCAAGTGTGAAACTGTCGAAAAGGATCTGGAACAATAACATATTTCTAGTAAATTTTGAGAAGACATATGTTTCTCATAAAGATATACAGGGCTATGTAAAAAGTCATGGAGGTTAGCACCCCGATTCAGAGCTATTCAGAACGATACGATACGATTTCGGATACGATATCGTTATCTAACAGCATTTACGGAGTTTGTCGGTGAAATAGATATAAGAAAAATGAAAATCCTTTTACATACATTTTTAAGACTTTAAAGGCCTAAAATTTCAGAATGTATTAGTTTTGCATTAAAATAAAATTGTACAATATCCAGACTTTATTATTTAAAATAATAAGAGATTTCCATATTACATTCTTGCTTTGTAAACAGTAGGACGTTCGGTAACTTTCATTCGATAACAGTGTTCTGAATAACGTTTGTAGCCTTTGCCGGTCGAGAAGTTCGAGCAATCGTACGAGTGTGACGTCATTTAGGTTCGGTTTCGAATACGATAGTACGATTCGGGAATTGTGAATAAAAATGAAAAGATATCGTACGATATCAAATCGAATCGGAGTTATCGTAAGGGTTTGTATCGACCCCCAGGAGTCAATGTAGTCTTGCGAGGTTGTTAGTTACCTATTTCGCTAAGCAGTAATGTGAACATTAATGCGTTCCGGTTTCAAACGATAAGGGTGTTCGTGAAATTACTGGCACATGGGACTTGTCCACTTATATCTCAGGGTGTCGGGCGCATTGGTAGAGTGACCCTCAGATCTTTGTGATTTAAAGCTCTGACTGGCACTGCAACTGTTAGGGACAGGCGTGTCACTTACCACCAGGCACATTACTTATTCCTCCCGTCACTTAGTATTGTATAAAAAAAATAATATTTTACAAATAACCGTGTATCAGTATGTGGGTTCCAACATATTATGTCAATCTTGTTGGTGTTAAAACTTCAACTTAATCGAAAGTTTCTAAGTTAAAGCACAAACTGTGCTTAAAAAACATGAATACAGAAAATCTGAATATCATTTGGCAAAAATATTTTTCAATCGACAAACCTATTTTGTGCCCATGCGGCTTGCCGATAGTGTGACGTTGGAAAAATATTGGGGAAAAAAACACAAGCCGTTATAAAGCATCGCTGTTAAATGGAACTCAAATATTGATTTGGAGGCTGCTAGTTCCGCGCCGGCTTTTTCGGAACTTATTAGCTTCAGATTAGAGCTAAATGGATTTTATTTTTTGAATTGTTATTCCCTGTACTTACTACCTAGACCAGGGGTCGGCAACCTTTTGAGTTGAAAGAGCCAAAAATTACAAATAACAAAATTTCACAGTTTTTAAAGCGCCACTAAAATTTTTCTTGCCAATATTATATCTAGTACTTGCTTATATAAAGGTATATGATTTTGATTTAAAAATTTTGAATCGTTCTCGAATTCTCTTTTTTCTTTACTATTCTTTCTTATGTTGGTTCGTTCCGTTGTCACTCTCATCAAAATTCACAAAACGGGGACATGACCATAAATCATCCTCATTTAATTCCAAACTTGTCGTCATTTACTTAGATTTTTAGTGGCAATAGAGCTCCTCGTGAAAGAGTTCATCCAGGGAAGTACTGCCACATTACATATTTTTGCCGTCAAGCAGTAATGTGAGCGTTTTGCGTTACGGTTATGAAGGGTTACGGGTCCTGATCAAATTACAGGCACATGAGACTTGTCTACTTAGGTCTCAGTTTGACGGGCGCAGTGGCAGTGCCCCCAGCTCTTTGTGATTTAAAGCTCAGAGTGGCACACATGGTAAAAACAGATTACTTAGAAAAAGACAAAATTCTTTTTATGAAGACAAATTTATTAAATCCAACAAAACGATCTTCTCCCTATAGACGCTAGAGAATAATTACTTGATAATAGTAAAAAAACGTCTCAAAAGTGTATTTTCGTTACAAGACAGAAATATTTAATCCAAGAGCAAATTAATTTACTTCAAGTCACAAAGCCACTCTAGATTCAACAAAATATTTATTTGTTATTAGAAATGTCCGATTTCGATTTGAAAAAAAAAAAGAATGAAAAATTGAGAGTACTTAATTATTTGACTGAAGATTTGTGTTTTCTAATTTCAAAAAGGGTAAATTTACAGGGTTATGGACCCAACAGTACCTGTATGTCTCACTAGCGTGAAAGCACACAGTTCAGTGTCAAACCTTAAAGTAGCAGAAATAGGACGGAATCTTCTCAAATACTTGAGGACCATTCAGTGTCGTATAAATGCTACATCGGCAGAAAGCACTAACAATTCTAAATATATGAGATGACTTTATACTATTGAAGTTAACATAACGATAGCGCGTTTCAGAATACAACTAATGCCATCTAGCAGTGGCGTCATGAAACTAATTGCATGTTAAAGTTGTGCTTGTTACAAGAGTGTAGTTTGATTGCATGCGCCTTCGGCGACATGTCACGACAACATTGACTATGAAAACGCAACGAAATATTGCTTTAAGAATATACTCTAGAATTTAGAATATTAATCTTAATAGAAAACTTCTTCTTTTTTTGTTTAAGAATATATTTTCTTAAAATACACCCAAGAAATTTTGAATTCATTAAGATTATTTAAATTTGATGTAAGAGGTAAAAATTTCTTGATGTAAGTAATGTCCAATGAATTGATTAGAGATGAAATAAAATTTTGAAGGGAACGTATTTGTCTCAAAGTTAGAATAAAGTTAAGAGTAAAATTGTATTAGAAAAAGATAAGCAGTATTTTTGTGATGACAATATTTTATTACTTTTAATAAATATTTTTTCAGAATTAGCAAATATTGTGAGAAATTGCTCTTTCTTATTAGTAGAAATCCTTTTTTTCTGTGCAGTGGCACTTGGCGACATGTCTGTCCATAACAGTTACAGAACTGTTATGGACAGACGTGTCGCCACCTGGGGCACGACTTGTTGTATATATTAAAAAAATGTGAATTTATACTTTACGAATTTTATTTTCATCAGTTGGGATGGGCCGCCTTCGAAAAACTGGAGGACGCCTTTAAATATAAAATCCCTCAAAGCCTGAAAACTAAAGTTGCGTCCTGCCCGTACTTACTTACAGCGCCGAGCCATGGCCGCTCACAAGGAATACATGCACAAAATCAGAGTAGCACAAACGGCAATGGAGCACACCATGTTCGGCATTTCCCTCATCGACCTTATACCCCACGCGGAGATACGACAGCGAACAAGGGTCGTAGACGTCGGTATGCGGATCGCGAGCCTCAAAGATGGGCATGACCCGTTGCCAAGATTGTGGATGAGCTTCGCACAGGACCGACTGAGCTGGCGTGCAAAAGAGGAGGCATATAACCCAGCAGTGGATGTTGACGGGCCGAGATGATGATGAAATGTAATATGTAAAGCTATTTAAAACCAAATAACTCTTTAAAAAATATCTAGGTTTATATTTTTATCCTTGAACGTGTATAATAAATATTTTCTTAAACTAGTTATTATCTGAAATTGAGGCAGAGAAATGAGTTTTGTGAATCGAATTTTTGTTTTGTTGCGACTTGAAGATTATACTTGGAATCCTCGTCTCTTTAAAGATAATGCGGTTATAAGTCAATTTGCCGAAGGTAAAGTCGCTTCATTAAGAGCGGGAAGAAAATGAAAGTAAATATATAATTTCCTTTTTTTCTTGTTTAGATTTATAAATTGAGAAGTCGCATAAAGCTGGTGGAAAATTATTCGCAATGCTGGGACCGTCATGAAAGTAGAAATGTTTTCTTTGTTTGAAAATGATTTTCAAACACTTTTGCGTTACCAGACAGATCGCGTAACCACACATAAATGATTTATCAAAAAATACAAACTTCTATCTTTCTCATGTTAATTTGAGTAGTAGATAATAAAAATCATGCATAAGTACACACATCGAGTATATGAGTGCACAGAAGCATAATTAAAGCTACGTAATCAAATTTAAAGATTTGCACATCCAGTGAATCGGTAATCAAAATATATTAGGAATACCTACCATTTTAAAACTATACTAAAGAACGTCGCATTTATAAATCAATTAATAGTAATTTTGATTCAGATCAGAAGAGCACTAAAAAGAGTGCCTTCGTGATGTGGTTTATAAAATTATAACAATACAGATTAAAGTACAATAGTACAAAAAGTTATTACAGTATTTCCGAATACTTTGATGATAAAAAGTAATAAATAATGTACCTCATATTTGAATTTAAATTTAGGCATGGGTTAGGATTTCAATTAGGGCTTAGGGTTCACGAAAGGAGCCTGTTGTGCGATGTTTTATTTTATTTTTTTTTATAATACCAAGTGACGGGACGAATAAGTCGTGCGCCTGGTGATAAGCGTGCCTGTCCTTAACAATTGCAGTGCCACTCAGAACTTTTAAATCATAAAGATCCGAGAGGCACTGCCACTGCGCCCGTCACTCTGAGACTTAAGTTGACAAGTCCTACGAGACTGTAACTTCACCATCTCATTTAGTTATTACTTACCTCCCATTATAAATGTGCAAAGTGATATGCAAGAAATAAATATAAGTAAATATTCTAAAATAAAAGAAATTGCCATCAAAATTAGGTACAGAAAACTAAAAATGAAAATTACCCAGTAACCTTTACGAGTCGTTATAAACTTTTCGGACATTAAAAAAACCGTACAAACTACAGCTGACGAGTTTTATTTGCAAAAAAAATATATATAATTGCGACGGTATTCTGTAGTTGACCGGATGTCGGGGCAAGCAATGCGGAAAACGCAATTTGAAGAGGCAAATTGCATCTGCGCGCTGCATCTCTGGAATAAAGTGTCGATAAGGACGTATCCCGCTGAGATTTATACTCTTCTTCAACAACGAAAACGCTTTTATATAATCGTAGCTATATTGTGACTACAGTACGCTTTTGTTGGAAAATATAATTGAATTCAAATGGGGAACGAAATTATTCAGTTGAAATTTTGAAAAAATCTGGTTTAAGCCTTGCTCATCTACAAG